GCGTCATCAAAATGCATGCCCACAGGTCAAACGTGAACTATTTCGGAATAGCAGTCGTTCCCACGTGTAAACGGCTTCCCGTGCTCTTTATTTCTCAATCGCACACGCACACACACATACACATTGACTCATACCAACACGCACANCAGCATCGGCTGTAGACAGCGAAAAACAGAAGACCAAACAAACAAACAAGCAAAATTGTAAGGGATAGTGGACTATAGATCACCCGCGTAAAGTCACACGAGTGTAGTCATGATCCAATGTGAATAGGATAATATTATATAAAGCATTCTCATCTGTATCATCCTAGTCAGGAAGATGTATACTGAACAACGAATTGTGCGTAAGACTGCAACTCTGCCCCGAATGACCGAAACCAGGACGAATGTGAGTTACTCTTGTCCATAATTTGGGATTTTTCCATTTGCTTCACTCTCGTTCTCCACTACAAATGGGGAACACTCACTGTCTTCATTTAAAGCGATATATGTAATGATTTTAGCGTCACATTTTGAATGGCTCAAACAAAATGTGGGCCAGTTTCCCAACTAGGGAATAATATACAAATTCCATATGTTCGTATCTTACTGTGGACATTCTGTGTGATCTGAATACATGAGCTTAGGTTCGATCAACCGACAGATTACAGGCTAAATGCGGTTCATGTACGTATGAGGTATTAAAGTTCCTACCTGTGTGCGCGTAAAACAGAGAAGACGAAAACAAACGGTATTCACGTGTGTAACTTTTTCGGAATCCGTCTTTATTTTTTATATTTTTTCTAAATGTGAAAATAAGTATAATGAATAATCCAATAGGTGACAGTTGCGAAATGTGAATAATTATAAGCAGATTAACTATTAGCAGTACCAATCCATACAGAAAGGGAATAAATGTTTTTTAAGAAAAGAAAATAAGAAGCATGATTCTGAAAAGGATCGGTATAACGCTGAGGGAAACAATCTCGGGCTCAGTTCCTTCCGAATGAATTGGGTAGCCTAAATCTTGTTCTCTTTAAACCAAAGCCCTAGTCTGATCAGTGAAATCAAGATTCACTGTTCGAGAAGGCTGTTATTTGCAATTCATTAGTTCGATAGACCACTGCAGCTCATCGGTTTTGAAAGTTCA